AAAGATACCTATATTTTGGACCAAAAATGTATCACTACACAAAAGCTTCCAACTATATTTTTTTCATCTTAAAATTATTGCAAATATTGTTATTCTATATCTACACAAATATAACATTTCAGCTTACCTCTAATTGTTATTAGTATTAGAGAAAACTATTTTATGCTGACCTAATAAGTATAATTCTTTCACCGAATAAATTAACATCTATATATATAACATTTACTCTTAGTTTACATATTGAACATATATATTTTCTCCTTTTTAAATAAACATATTTATCAAATATTTGATAGATATTTATGGGTATCCTGCTGCAATTTATGTTCGATCGAACTTTTTTTTCATTTTCCCACCGTTTATTAAATATTGAAACATTGGTCTTAAACAAAATGCCGTATCGAACTAGGAGCATTTAGTCTTGTACTAATGTATTACTGAGCAAATGTACATTGATATTCCGCCCAAAGAAGTTCTAATAAACCATGTCCTCAATGTCTTTAATATGATCTTGTAAACCAGTGTTCTGCAGCAGGACCCAAATCTTTGGAAGAAACCAACCTTATATTGTTAATTAGAGTTGGGAAACGTATTCATGTAAATGGTTATAATGGAGAGAACGATGATTATAAGTAGCTCAAATAATAAAAAGGACGTCTTTGAATAAGCAACAATATGAAACGACATTGAAAATTAATTACCTTGAGTTTACTTAAAAAAGAACCACAAAAAATTCAAAATAGTCAATGCAAGTTTACAAAAATATCCTGTGTAATTACTTAAAGATAATACTCGAAGTCTAGCTCCTTAAGAGTTTAGGAGAGAAACGTAAGAGCCGAGTCCAGATAATTACCGTCTGGATAACTGTTGTCTGACAATTGTTCTCCGGTGTATTGGCCCATTTGAAAACTGACACAGATAATTGCCTTCTGAATAATTGCTCTCGGACGTTTTCTCAATAATGAGAAAATTGCTCTAACTATACCACTAATATTATTAAGTTCAACATATTCTTAACACATTACTTTTTGTCAAATTAATCTTTGTTTTGTGGTGATTCACGTATTTTTGTCATCATCAATATGTTTTCTTTCACTGTGATCATTTGGACAAACTCCATGATGAGTTCATAAAAATAATGATATACTCGTCGACCTCTGGATGTACTGTGAGTAATTCATGCACAGGCTGAAGGCTGATCTTTGCTTTCGACTTAGTATTTCAGTATATTCGTTAAAAAAAATGAAAAATTAACATCAGGATGTATCATTTCAGATCATTTCAGTCCTTAGATTTAATCAGCATAAAAATGATTAGTTAATGTTATAATTTATCAGATTTATCGTTCAAAACGTACAGTTTCAATGATATATTAACATTAATACTGTATATGTGAAAAAAACAAAAACATGTGCCTTATTATTTACCACATCCTGCATATTTGTGTATATATTCGTGTCATTTTCTTTTAATTTAATGTTAATCCTCTCTTGTAATTTTTGTTGAACAAAAACGTATGTTTTACGAGCTCGTGATATTCTCCAGTGACAGAGGGTTAAAGTTAAAATTATTTCATATTTGCTTTCTCATCATTATTTTATTAATATTTTACTCTTTTTTCTGGTGGATTTTACGATATATTAACAATTCCTGAATTAGTAAATATAAAAGTCTGTTTATAGTTGACTAATATTTTGAAAACAAAATGTTCTTGATTAAGTACGAGCCTTTTGGAAAACTATCGTCATGTTTTATATGTGGTATTAGTAAACATAGGCTGTATATGTACTTCTATCTTCAGCTAAATATGGGTTTTGTTTATATATGAGTTTACAAGTAAACATGGGTTAGTTTTATAGATGACTAGCAGTAGAGCCTGGCGTTGCCCGGGGATGTAACAGAGATAAATCAAGTATCGACCATCATAAAGACTGAAAAATATAATTGACAAATATTATTGTTTAAGGTTGACGGACACGCATGTCTTAATTAGTTTTTTTTCTTTTTGTTTTTCTTTTTTATTACGAATTGGTCAAACCCAAACTCAAACAAAAACATTGTTTTCAATCGTTAGAAGTCTACCGATTGAATAGAATTTTATTATAAACAATTGTCTTGTAAATGGAATTTTTAAAGCATTCTGAATGTAAAAGTAAAGAAAAAAATGTGCAAGACAATAAGAAACACGACCTGCCAAAAAAAGTGAAGTTTTGTTGAAATCAGTTGAAAAATGTAGGAAATCCGATCCCATATATAAACGAAACACACACACACACACAACCTGGGTTTTATAATAAGTATAACTCGATATGAGTTGTCCCCCTTTCATTCTCGCGATGCCTCTTAATGTGCAAAAACGATTGAGTTTTTCCAATTTTTGGCGCTGTCAGAACCACCGCAAGGTAATTTTACGTAGTCCTGTGATGTTTTGTTGTAATCGGTTGAAAAATGTAGAAAATCCGATCCAATATATAAACGTACAGACACACACAACCTGGGT